TGAAGAAAGAAAGACAGGAGTCATAAAACAGAAAGCCAAGGTCAGGTGGAGCCCTCTTTCCAGATTTTAGAGGAAGAACTGCTCAACCACTGCAGCACATTTATTTATACATTCAGCAGGTTGATGTCACGTGACACCCCTCTGCCTAGCAACCTGTTTGCTTGGCTCACCTCGGGCTGTGTTGTCAGAGCTAGAGCAGCTTGTTCACATGACTCACCTCGGGCACTCTTTGTTCTCAGGACTGGCCTTGCTTCAGCCCATGTGTGATTGATCTCTACCTTTTTTGATCCCCCAAGAATTTCCTTCCTGGATGTTTCATCCCATTTAATTCAGTGTTTCTGAAATATTGATATAACTTAGTCAATTGGAGGCCATTTGTTGTTCACAAATGTCACAGCTGTTGATAACTTAGCTCATTTTCTGCCCTAAAACTAAGGGACTGGACCCCTTTTCCCTTCTAGAGAAAACATCTCAGTGCTGCCCCCTGAAAATATTGTCATCAACCAAGTACACACATACATCTATGATTTTCCTATGCAGAATTAGTAGATAACCTGAGGTCATGTCCTCTTCCAATACTGGATTCAACCTCCCTTAATTAGCAAAAATACTGATAAAATATAAGGTTTAACATTAAAAGGGAAATATTTCCCATGTACGCAGTATCTGGATTAAGGTCTAGCGTTAACAACTGTAATTCTCTCTGGTGTCTGTGTTATTACTGAGAGCATTTGGTTCACCCTTGGCTTATAACTGCAGGAATTATTCTTCCTGTGTCCCTGGGAGTCGCGCTGTGCTGTGGGCAGGTGGGGGTGGGGTCTCTCAGGTTAAAGCCCCGAGGCAAACTGGCCCAGAGCTACCCCTCTTCTCCGAGTCAGTGTGGCCCTCACACCTCTGGCACCCAGTTAGAAGTAGGGTAAGGTGACTGGGTCTTGAATATTTCTCACCCTCTGGAGTTTGTCCAACGAAGCTTGACAAGCAGAACTGCAGCACGTTCCTCAGGCGCTGTCCTATAAACCTGGCACATCTGTGCTCATCACAGTTTCTTGCTTCAGTTATTTTCTTTGTGACTGAAATCCTGCTGTTAATGCTTTCAGCAAGGTGAAGAGCAGCAGATGCTATACTTTCCTCACGTTTGAATGGTAGTCTAACGGGACACAGTTCTTTTCTGAAAAGACCACATCATGTTGAAGGTATCATTCTATTATTATTATTTTCCTTATCATTATTATTTCTGGCATCAAATGTTGTAATAGGAACTCTGTCATTCTAATTTTTCCCGTTGGAAATCTAACTTTTCTCACTGGTCGGTTTTAAAACATAGATATACCCTCTTGCGTACATGGTTATTTGTTACCACTAACCAATAAAAGAAATGGAGTACAAAATCCTGAATTACAGTGGAGAAAATGAAGAAAACAAAGCAGTCTGGCAGAAAGCAGGAGAAAACAAAAAGCATGATGAGCAAAAAGCACAAGATACACAGTAAAAATAAATCCAGATATATTCGTAATCTCAGTATGCATTATTTAAATTTCCACAGTATAGCAATTCTCATGTTGCATAAAAGTAAGAAATTCCCATTTGTGGTACTTAACAGATTCCCCATCTGAAACATAGTGACCCAAGTATTGAAAGGGAAGCACGTGAAGGACACACAAGGCTCACACCACCACATTCAAGCAGTGACGAGTGTGGACCATGAATGCTAGACAAGTGGACTGCAAGGCAGAAGGAGTCGTTAGGGGTGCAGAGGCTGCAAGGGTCACTCGGTGTCTAACATATGCGAACCTGCTGCACCTTACTGAGAGTGTAAGGGTCGCCAGACTTGAATGGCCCGGACCAGCCCAGTGTCTTGTTCTCATCAGGAGAGGATACACATTCTTCTCAGACATACACACAGGACTTTCTGAAAGCTGGTCGGTGCCTCAGCTGCAGTGAAAGTCTCAATACCAAAGAATTTGTTTCTTGTAGACTCTCTTCTCTGATCAAAATGTAAGTGAATAAAATAAAATTGAATAACAAAAATCATGGAAAGTTTAAACTGAAGAACTATAAAACATGTAAGACTGCATGGCAGTAAAAATGCTCCAACCCAAGCCTGTAGTGTACAGCAAAAGTGATGTGTGGAATTTTGTTGCCTTAGATGCACACACTGGAAAACAGTAAAAGAAAATGATCTGTACTTTTACATTTTTACTTTGTAAAATTAAAATAAAAAGAATGGGGCAGATTCAAGGTCAATGGAAGGAAGAAATAATAATGGTAACACCGGACTTTGCTGCAGTGGGAAAACAAATAAACCATGTTTATAATAATCCAGCTAATTAAAAGCTCATTCATCCTCAGACGAATAATGAAATCCGCTAAACTCACTGACCAAAGAGTACAAATCTTAGAGAACACATTCAGAGATGAGAGGAGAGGTAGTTCCAGGAATAGCAATCACCTAAAAATCATGAGGGAAACCCAGGACCTGCTTTATGCCAACACGTGAAAAGCTGAACAGAGCTAGACATTTGTAACTGTCAGAATCAAAGTGGAGCATATAACACCAACCCCTATGAAAGCAAGAAGGAAGCGGGGGAGAGAGAGCAGACAGGGTGCCCCAGGAGAGGACGGGGCGGCTGCAGTCCAGTCCGCTGGTCGCCTGTGTCCTGCCAGGCCACTGGGCAGGCTTGGCCGACTCCATGTGCAGCCGCTGTCTTCGACGGTCAGGGTTCGGGGTTTCCCCTGGTCAGGCCAGGCGGCCCGGAGGGAGAAGTGAGGGGCCAGCCCAGGCGGGGGCCGTGCGGGCTTGTCTGTGGAGCTGAGCGCCCTCACCGCCTCCACTGCTGGCCGCGCTGGGCTGGGATGGGCAGTGTCCATCCCCACCTGCTGTGTGCACCCCCTGCTTCAGAACTCGGGGAGGGTTGTCCAGCTCAGGGAGCAGGTGGGCGCCCACCACCACCACGAAGACTGGTGTTTCTTCGGAGCCTGGCCTGGGTGTGTTGGCCACCTTCATTGGAGTAACTATTCTCCATACGCTTCCTACTTTTCCAAGTCTTGCCTGACACTGAAAGACCAGGAAGAGGAGGAGGAGTCTGCAAAGGAACAGGAGGAAGGACAGGAGTCCTGGCTGCCCGGAGAGGGGAAGAGACAACAGTCAAGCGCAGGGGCTGGGAAGTCCCCTGGCTTTAGCAACAAGGAGTGAGCAGAGTTTGGCTTCCTTGAAGGAAAGGAGCGAAGGCCAGTGAGTGAGGACAGGCCTAGACTGGCCGTGGGCTAAAATTCTAACTGCCAGGCCAGGGCTGTGGCAGCGGCACTCGAGGGGGTGCAGGATGGGGGAAGTCCTTGTTGTATTTTCCCGTCCTCCCTCCACCCCCTTCCTTCCTTCCTCACCTCCCTTCCTTTCCTTCCTTATTTCCTTGTTTCCTTCCTTCCTTGTTTCCTTCCTTGTTTCCTTCTTTCTTCCCTCCCTCCTTCCTCCCTTCCTCCCTTTCTTTTAAATGGAAGCTGCACTGGTTTCCTCAGACTACTGTCACAAATTACCACAAAGAGGTGCCTGAAAACGTCAGAAGTGCGGTTGCTCTGGAAGCAGAGTCTCAGTGCGGGTGTTGAAGGACCAGGCCCCTTCCCAGCTCGGGGAGCCATTCCACACCACCTTCTTGGCTCTCGGTGGCTGCTGGCACACCATGGTGTCCCTTACCCATGGCCATGGCACACCTGTCTCTGCCCCACTCTTTTCCACGTGTCTCTTGAACAACACTTGTCACTGCACGTAGAGCCAGCTCAGGGCGGTTTCATCTCGAGACCCTGAACGTAGTTAACATCTCCAAAGACCAGATTCCCAAATGCGACCCACTGACAGATCCCAGGAGCAGGGTATGGAGCCCCCCTCTGGAGCCCCAGTGAGTGTGTACAAAACTAATGTGTGGCACAGGGCTCCCCAAAAAATGACAGAGCCTGGGGCCCTGAAACAGACGGTCAGACTCAACTACAGAGACATCAAACCGCTCTCAGTGGTCAGAAACAGCGTAAGCATAGAAAGACAGGCTACAGTGGGGGAGAAAACGTTTGCCTCATACATCAGACATATCCAGCATGAACTGAATAGTTGCAGGCTAGGTACAGGAAAGCCACGGCAGTAAGTCATCGCTGCAGGAGAATACTGGCACCATCGATAGGAGAGCAGTAATGACAGCACAGCCGTAGTAAAAATCACAACAGTAGCAGAAAAAAATTTCTGTTATTTTTTGTCTGCCCCATTTTTTTTTTTTTTCTGATAGGATAAATAACCCAAACTTGCCCGTTCCCAGTAGCCTGTTTACTTTTGGTTGGTGATTCCCAAGTCCCCTGCCCGTGTGGGGTCTGTCGAGCTCTCGGGGACCTCAGCCCTGCGCACCTCAGGCTTGCATCCAGGGTGGTGGCATGACCCTGTGCAGCGCCCCGTCCCCTGGAACTTGCCCAGCTCACCTGGACTTGGAAGCGGTCTAAGCCCCAGGGCACCCGTCTTGGAATTTAGTTAAGCAGGGCAGTGTGAGATGCCCAGCAGGGCTGAGGAGGATTTGGGTTTTATCACAAGTAATCTCCTGCTCCTTTCCAAAGGCGTAATTGAGTGGAAGGATTTGGTGTTCCAGGCTGAGCTTGGCTTTCTGGTACTGAGCATCTCCGTGTGGACTCTGAGATGTAAGCGGCAGGTTTCATGCTTTCCTTGGATGAAGAGGCCCAGGAGCACACAACCGACCGGCCAGGCTCCCCTCTGGGCCCTCTGTCGGCCTTGGGCTTCCTAGGCTTCGTGGTTCTGGGCGATCCCACAAGGCCCGGGGGCTGTGGGTATGGGCAGGGGCTGGGGCTCAGGCCTGGGGGCTGTGGGTATGGGCAGGGCATGGGGCTCAGGCCTGGTGGCTGTGGGTATGGGCAGGGGCTGGGGCTCAGGCCTGGGGGCTGTGGGTATGGGCAGGGGCTGGGGTTCAGCCCTGTCCTGATGTGCTTTTCTCTTCTCGCCCTCTGGGTCCCAGCGAGATGAAGCAGAAGCTGGAGGAGGAAGGCAGCAAGTGCAGCATCCTCGCCAAGCATCAGAACTTCGTGGAGCACTGCTGCATGCGCTGCTGCGCACCCTTCACCTTCCTGGTCAACACCCGGCGCCGCTGTGGGGACTGCAAGTTCAATGTCTGCAAGGGCTGCAGCTCCTTCCTGAAGCGTGAGAAGGCCTGGGTCTGCTGTGTGTGCCAGCAAGCCAGGTGAGCGGTTGAGCGTCAGATGGGGCGGCGGCTGACGTCAGGGCTGAGGATGCCTGTGGACCTTCGTGAGGGCCCTGGCTGTGCACAGGGAGTGGAGGCTCAGGTGGGGTTGGGAGTACAGAAGCAGCAATGCTTGTGCTCATCTGCCACTCACATTCCTCATCAGCCTCCTCCTCACTCCTCCCACCACGCTGGAGCTCAGGGAGTGTGCAGTCCACAGGAAGCTCGGAGGGAGTGGGGCAGACTGCCGAGGACCCAGCTGGGGAAGTAGGGGTGCGTGTGGGACTCGCCGTACTGGTCTGTGGGACACACGGCCCCGAGGCTGGAGACAGCAAAACAGTCAGGAAAGGCTACAGGGAGTCGTGGCTGTGAGGGCTGCTGGCCACCCTGTGGAGGATATGGCAGCAAGCAGCACCTCCTCTCGCAGACCGCAGAGCATTTCTGGGAGAGGTCAGAGCCTGGAAACCCAAGCACTGGTTAAGCGAGTGTCTGGCGTGTTTGTTCTTTGGGATTCTTAAAGCTCTGCTGATCCTGGCACCTGGAGAGTGCAGGGGGTTCGTGTCTGTCTTTGTCGGTGGAGTTGTGTAACAGCGAGCTGGCCCAAGGCATGGCCTGAGGGCACACACACTCTGGCCTGTCCCCCTATACTGCCTCCTCCGTGCTGCTTCTGGTTCAAGTCCTGTAACCCCTTGGATCAGGGCAGCGGCCAGAAAGCTCTTGGGGCTCCCAGGAACCAGACTTCAAGCTCCACAGAGCAAAGCCGCTTGGAGGCACCATCAGCAGGCCCTAGTTTGTTGTGCACCCAGCATCCAGGGCTGGCGCTGCCCTGTCCTGGCCCAACTGGTACCTCGAGGAGCCTGTCTGAGCCTCCGGTGGCCGCTCAGCCAGAGGGAAACCCTGCAACGAGGGCCGGGGTGTGTGTCTGGAGGGATGGCTGCAGTGTTCTCTGCTGCTCTGCAAAGCTGGGCAAGGTCAGGCGCTAAGACATGAAGGTCGAGGCTGGAGGACCAGCACAGGCTCGACGCAGACCTCAGGCGTGGGAATCTGAGCTTTGAGCCCGGTCCTGGTAACTGAGTTTGTCTGCTTTCAGGCTTCCCCTGAGGTTTGCTCCAGCTACACTCAGCTGACGTGTGGAGGGTGGGGTTTTGCTCCTGGTTGGGGTCCTGCAGGGCTGGGACAGGCCAGCGGGCGACAGGGTTAGGATGTGGAGGTAGTGAAGGAAGCTGAGACAGAGGGGGCAAGGGCTGGCCTGAGGAAAGTGCGAGGTCAATTAACAGAGCCCGGTGAAGCTGAGCAGGCATCCCCACGGGGCCCTGACAGAGCGAGCCAGGGAGGGGACAGGCTGTGTCGGGAAGGTGGCTGAACCGCGGCAGTGATCTCAGCGCAGATCGCTATGTGGAGACCGCGGGAACGGAGGTCGTCCAGGCCCGGAAGCCAAGGACACAAAGCCAGTGCATAGGGACCCTGAAACCCGGTGGAGAGTGAGCCCAGCCGCCCAGGTTCCCTCGAGTGAGGAGAGACCCAGAGGGCCAGGAGGAGGTGGGGGGAGGGGGCGAGCTGGCGCGACTGAACATCGCACTGCTGTACCGGCTGGCAGGCGAGTCTCACACAGCACTGGCTCAGGCATCTGCCCGGCACCACCGGGCGCTGCGGGCCTCCACCACCCATGGAGGACGCTGCAGCCAGTGCTCCTCATGCAGCCCGGATCCTGGGTATGGAGGCTCAGCGGCGGACGGGACGAGCGGTGCTCATGGCAGCAGGAGGCATGGTGCAGGGAAGGGGCTGCCCTGAGAGCACAGAAGGCCACCGAGTCCTTCTGGGACCCTCGGGGTTTCGAGAAGAAGGGCAGAACCCAAAGGGGGACAGAACCACGTGGGGCAGTTAAGGTGGGAGTCCGGGTGTGGTCCTCCAGGGGCTGTGAAGTGGTGAAATCATAAGCTCTAGCAGTTGTGCAGATACCTGTTCCTTGCTGTGCTTCCACATTCACCCGCAAACACAGGAGTACACAGTATATTTTAAAATGTTCTCCTTATTTCTCTTCTCCACGGGAGAGAAAAGTCTCCCAGCTTACTAAGCGATGAGTCGCAGGAAAGCACACAGTAGCAGCTTGGGAGCGGGCAGGCTGCCATGAGGGCAAGGAAACGACAGCAGTGTGTGGGCGGTGCCCACCCCCCTCAGGATCTCCCGGCAGGGCAGGCAGAGCCTCTCCTCAGCAGCCGGGTCCCCTGACTGCAACCTCTGCCCTCCAGTGCGTGCCAGATTGTCTCAAGCAATCTCCAGAGAGTGGAAAATAAGCTGCTGGGGTGGCAGCAGGTGGCTGCTGAGGCTACACTTCAAGCCTCCATTTCACCTTTCTCTGTGAGGAGGCTGGAGGCTCAGCCAGTCCTGCCTCTGCACGTCACCTTTCACGGCAGCGCCTGCGTCTCAGCAGGGGCACAGCAAAGCAGGAGCCGTTCCTATACCCATGCTGAGGAGACGGCTGGAACGCACCCCGTGTTTCCAGGAAGGTGGGGGCTTCTGGGGAGCCCGCGTGTCCAGCTCAGACTGAGCCCCCAGAGTCACGCAGGGGAGAGACGGGGAAGTTTGCCGTTCTGCTTTTGGATCGTGTCTCCCGGTCGTGTCTGCCGGGGCCTTGGGATCCTCACAGCTGAAACCAAAAGTGATGGAGAAATTGGCTCTACTCGCTGGTCCTCCGTCCGTTTCACCTCAGTCACAGGAACTTGTCTAGGAAGGAGTCTGAGAGGTGTGTGGTGTATTTTTGATCCTTGACGTTTCTCCAGGGCTCAGTTAGTCAGAAGCACTGGGGCGGAGCCTCAGACGGGAGACTCGGGGGCTGACAGGCTTGGGGCACGTGGCTCACATCCATGCAGAACCAGGTGAGCGACCCTTCCATGTCACACATCCCTCACGTGGAGTATTTAAGGAATATGTTTACTGAGTCAAGTGTGGAGAATTTCAAAGAAGTAACTTTTAAAAACTGCTCAATTTTGTGAAGCAGAACAGTAGTTTACTACAGGTTCCTTAGCTCTGAGTACAAGCTTTTCACAGACACCGTGGAGAGTCTGCTGCTATCCACAGTGGGCAGTGGCTCGTCTGCCCTCATCAAGGTGAGCTCCGCCTGCCTGTCCTTGCTTAGGAGGCATTTGCTTCAGACTTCAGTCCTTCAGGCTTTCTTCCCACATATGCATATTCTAGAAATGTCGATTCTGCGACTGTCACATTTGTGTGTGCACGCGTGTGTGATCAGTGGAATGGTTGACTGCACTTCTCAGCGGCCACGCTGAGTCCTGTCTCACTCTTCGCGGCCCACAGTGCATTCCCCTTCCGTATGTAAATTCACCCACTTTGCTGCCTTGGTTTCGTTCCTCCCTGTTTATTCAGTGGCTCCCCTGTGCATATGTGTTTTGAGATACTCTGGGCCATGATCCATTGTAACAATAAAAATTCTTGTCACAAAAATTCGGGCGCTTGGAGTTGGGAGTGATAATACACAGCAGCAGGAGTGACCGGCTACCGGGACCGAGACCCCGAGGGGTCTGCAGGGCTCCTGTGAGTCAGTCCCTGGAGGAGAAGTACAGGCCTGCAGAGCGTCGAGGGGCTCCTAGAGCAGGGCAGTCTGCAACGTCAGCGTTCTTGTCTTCATCTCGGTGAAAAGGAGGGTAGGGTGCTCTGTCTGATTATTCTGTTCAGTAAAACCCTTTTAAGAATTTTTTTAAAAAACTCTTTTTAATGGCTGCAGCTGTAATTGTAATCATGTGGTAACTCCCCATCAGACTTTTGTGTGTTTTGCATTCAAATGCATTTCTGTTGTCTGATTAGGAATTTTAGCTTTGGGAGATTAACAAACATCAGATGAATATGATAGAATGAATGATGAATGACTGACTTTGGAAGCTATCTAGAAAACAGAAAATTACTGAGTCATTCCTTTGTCATTTTTTTATCACATACAAATATATCTTCCTGACAATTTATTGACTAGATTCATTCAAACATTATAAACAAGGACAGGCGCTGATTGCATTTTAAAGAAGCAAATGCAGAGTGAGCCCAGCCGGTGCATATCAGCCATTATCTTTTCCAGTTGAGTTGGTTCAAGAATTACAGTCCTCCTTTTCTTGGGAACAAATTGACTTTCTAATTTGTTGCTTCACTGTGAAAATTGTTCTCTCTGATTTTTGTCATTTTGTGCTTTTACCTTTAACAGAGTGTTTTCTGAGAGTGTTGTCCTGGAAAGAGAAAAGTTTACCCTTAGAGCTGACATCAAAACTCCCATTGTGCCTATGGCGTTTACTCTGGATTCCCCAGCAAGCCGAGGGCCCCATTTGTTTCCTCTTAGACTCAGACAGCCTTCAGCTCTACCTGCTCTCTCATTGCTTGGTATTCACACAGCCGCATGGTTCATAGATATGCACAACATCTGATTGGGCATACACTCCACAGTGAGTTTCAGGAACACCCCCAAAATGTTTGTAATATCCCTGAAGAAGGTACACCATTAAATTATGAGTGCCGCGAGCTAAGAACTTTCACAAGTTAACAAATAAATGGGAAATACTGAAACTCACTAGAAATCAGAGGAAGAGAGATTTTGCTTCAAGTAGATTTTTTCTCATTAAATTAATGATTTTTTAAAACTCACTCTCCTTGGTGCTGCCAGGCCAGAGTGAAGAAAGGGCACCTCTCTGTGGCTGGCAGAGGCTAACGGCAGAGCCTTCTGATGAGAGCTGGTCACAGACCCAGCTCTTGGACCCGTGATTCTATTGCGGAGAACCTACAACTAGCAACATAACGGTGTTTTTAAATGCTGCATGAAAATGAATTGCAGTGAATTATTTCTAACATAAAAGCACAAATGCCCAACAGTAGGTTGTGGAAGTGAATTAGGGTGCAGTCAGCCGATGGAGCACGGCGAGGCCTGTGCGGTGATGCCTGTGGCTCACGAGCACAGGGGAAAGGGTAGATCCTGCAGTGCAGTGAGCACAGGTGGTGAGATCACT